TAATATAAAATTAATGTACTTCAGTTCAGTAGTTTTGAAGATTTATTGATTTAAAGCTTAAATAAAACTAACACATCATCATTAGCGAAGATCAATACATTTGGCAGATAAGTAATTTAAAGATGAAGAATGAACTGACCCGTTAGGCAAGTAAATGTTGAAAATGGCCACCATGACTCTCCATGCAATAATAAAGATTTTGCTCAAAAAGTTGCAGCACGTTTGCAATATTTGAGGAGTAATTTGAAGGCACTCATTCACAATTCTTTGTCGCAGGTCTTCTAATGATGCTGGCTAAGTAGCATAGATTTTGCTTTTTAAATGACCCCACATATAGAAATCCAAAGGTGATAAATCTGGCGATCTTGGGAGCCATTCAATGGCACCTCTTCTACCAATCCATCAATCTGGAAACGTCTGACTAAATATTAATTAATATTAAAAAGGGAATTGAAATACCTTTAAAATAAGGTATTACTTGACCCCCCTTTCCATTTAAGATTTGAGGGTTGGTGTCACCCCCGCCCAGGGGGCTGCACGTGTTAACGTGATTTTTTCCAAACTTGTGTCCCCCTCGAAAACAAAATCGACGGATCAGAGCGTTTTTTCAAAAAAAAAAACTGAGCTGCCAGTAAATGCGTCTGTTTCGTTTTCGATGTGCCACCCTGTATGTGAATTGACCTAAACATACCTTAGTCCAAAAGTTGATATTTTGAGAGGCACTAGGTGTCACAGTTACAATTCGGTAAATAACTTATCATAACTTTTTTGTGCTACCCTGTATACAACAACTGACCGAAAAATATTATTTTCTCGTATTTCCACAACAAAAAAGGTTTACTTGTTAGAAGTGCCTGAAGCTAATAGTTTTCGAGATATTTGTTGTTTAAAATTCCAATGCATTATTTGTACCATCATGATAAAACAATTTTAAAACATAATAATCAAGTTGCTTTGGATAATATCTGAGTAGCGTTGCTATTGTTTTTAATTCTTGTCATAATATTGCTTTAAACTTCATGAACAATTTTAAGTTAACAATAACATCCTAATGCTTTGAAGAGTGCAGCAAAGATTAGTTTTGTTGCCATCCTCATTTTTTATTGTTAAAAATCATAGCAACGCTACTCAGATATTATCCAAAGCAACTTGATTATTATGTTATAAAACTGTTTTATCATCATGGTTCAAATAATGCGTTGGAACTTCAAAAAACAAATATCTCGAAAACTTCGGGAATTTTAAATTGATCCTAAAATTAATTTACAGATTGGTTGTTGTGGAAAAATGTAATTTTGGCCATCAGCATAGAGAAGGATTTCACATTTGTTGGAGCAATGGACGTCATTAACAAAAAGCGAATAAAAGATTGGTCCAAGAACCGAACCCTGAGGGACACCGACTCTGATACGTCGTGTTACCGGCGGAACATTATTAATTCTGATACTTCAACGAAGTAGATGAATGCTGATTTGATAATAATGAATTTTTTTGTAGATTTATTTATTTATTTATTTATATACAGTTTGGGGTGTTAACAGGTAAACCCAACACACACCCTCAGTGAACTAAAACTAAACTTACATAAAATATCGTATACATATACATATATTACATTATTGAATACTTCAATATTAATATTTTTTTATCCTCCGATATTGTTGTAACAACATAAACTGAGTGAGTAGTTCTAATTATAAGCAATTAACTATTAATTTAACTTTTTTAATAAAAGGAGTATACATAATTTAACATTTACTTACGTTTAATTAAAACTGAAATCAAAATTAAATTGAAATTATACCAGAAATGATATTGGAGGTGATAACTTGAGTTATGTAAAAAAATAAAACATTTCTATTTTAGTCTGCCATAGAGCTGTAATACTCATACTGTAAAGCCTTTTTCAGGGAGGTCAAGCTAATGTTAAATAAATCTATATTACAGAAATTATTATGATTTTTTTGAGCCCTGAACAAAGGGGAATTAAGACCAAGATTGGTTCTACGGAACGGTATTCTAAACAGATGATAGGTTCTAAACGTTCTATCAGGAGTGTTAAAGTTCAAGTTTGCCAAAAGATCCGGACAGTCAGTGAGGCCATTCAACAATTTATGGACACAGCAAATGTCAGAAATCGTTCTTCTATCTTTTAAGGAAATCATATTGAACTGTTTCATAATTTGCGTATAATGATCTGTAACAGGTTGGTGAGTTTTATGTGCTAACATCTTCAAAAATTTGTGTTGAATTCTTTCTATCCTGACTATATGTACATTGTAAGACGGATTCCATATTACTGATGCAAACATCAGTTTGTTGTGTATATAAGCGTAGTACAATGAAAGAAGCGTTTTTGGGTTCGTAAATTCTCTGCATGTCCTGTTTATGAACCCTAGTGTTCTATTTGCATCATTTACGATGTGCTCTACGTGGGTGATGAATGAGAGTTTCTCATCAATGTATACCCCTAGGTCTTTTACTACATGAAGCTTTTCCAGTTCTGCCGTCCCTATCTTATATCTGTAATCTATAGTGTTCGCTATGTTTCTAGTAAGCCTCATGTAATGACATTTTGTTAAATTCAGGAAGATACTGTTTTCAGTGCAATACTTTTGCAGAGATTCCAAATCGCTTTGAAGTTTTACACCGTCATTTACATTTCTAACAATAGTAAATATCTTTAGATCATCAGCATATAACGAATATTTACTGAAATGAAAAACAGAAGTAAGGTTGTTCATGTATATGTTAAATAACAATGGTCCTAAGTGACTACCTTGTGGTACGCCTGAAGTTACTAAGAATGTCTCCGAACGATACCCATTGATAGTCACCACTTGTTTACGATTACTTATATACGATGCTAGCCACTGCCATAATGGACCATGTACACCCACCTCAGCAAGTCTCTCCATCAAGAGAGAATGATCAATCTTGTCGAAAGCCTTACTGAAATCGGTATAAATAACATCCACCTGCAGTTTCTCATCTATTGCGTGAGAGGCATATTCTATAAAACTCATCAAATTCGTCTCTACAGATCTTTTAGGGAAAAATCCATGCTGGTGTTCCGTAACGATATTTTTTGTAATGTTTAAGATAGGATCATAAATCAGCTTTTCAAAAATTTTTGAGAAAATACAAAGTTTAGTGATAGGTCGATAATTTTCCACAAGATGTCTATCCCCTCCTTTATGAATAGGCAATATTTCACCTTCTTTCCATCTCGCTGGAAAGACTCTTTGAGTTAATGATAGTTTGAAAATTAGGTGAAGTGGTAAACATAAGCTAGCTGAACAGTTTTTTATAAATACAGAAGGTATGCCGTCAGGGCCTACTGATTTTTTAATTTCTAAGGACACTATTTGTTGATATATTTTTTCAATGGATATTAAGGTAACATCAATAGGACTAGCATCCTTGTTTAAATAAAAATGTTTAGATTAAACATATACACTTGCAAAGAAATCAGCAAAGGCATTACACACCCCACTTCCTGTTTTAACTTCATAGTTTGAATGATTTATAGAACTAGGTATAGAGACATTACATTTTCTCTTACTTGAAACGTATTTCCAAAAGTATCGGCTGTCGTTCAATATATTGTTTTCCATCATTGTTATGTATTCATCCAGGTTTTCCTTAATTAAGATTTTTGATTTGGCTCTAAGGTCACAGAATATCTGATATGAGTATGGATCATTAAAACGTTTGTATAGTCTATGATACTTATTTTTTCTCTTAACTGTTTGTATTGTTTCAAGTTTAAAGTATATTGGGTATTTTCCTCGAATTTTATATGTTGGTGTAAATTTGTGAATAGTTTCATTGAGTATGTTATAGAATATGGCTACAGCTTCATCTACAGATTTGGTACTAAATAATTTTTCCCATTCTATGTCTAAAAGAGTATTATTTATAGAAGTATAGTCGGCTTTATTAAAGTTTTGTAAAGGCAACGGCTCTGGTGCATTAATGGCTTAAGTAAAACATGCTTAAAACAAAATGTAATAGCAGGATGGTGACTATCCTCAGGAACCAATATGTCAACCGAATTCGAAATATTATATATTGAACATTCGTTAGATGAACTTAAGTACATAATATGATGACACTTGTGCACAGAACAAATCGTCAGCGTTTTCATGGCGATTCTAGCTACGATTATATACCCTATTATAAAAATCAAACACACCTAGAAGCTGAGATACTTCTGGTTATTATGATTATGTATCTAGAAAGCGGCAGTTATATTAATCAAAAGTAAACATGTGTGCATTATTATTGCACCTTATATGTATAATATACATCCGTGAGAACTGAAAATGATGTGCTCGCCAAATGTCATGTTTCACATGACAATAACAATTTGAATGGAATTGTTAGAAATTTAGCCGTTACGAGATAAAATGTTCATTCTATAGCTATACACAAAAAGAGTCTTATGGACCATCTTTTGTGCATACCTGTTTGGTGATATAACAACATGACTGAAAACTCATGTTGTTGCTCGTGATATTACGAAACTGTTCGATCATCTGTGGCATGATGTCGAGTTTCATCCCATGGCTAGCCAAATAACCTTTACAGTTGGATGGCTGGCTTCCTCTCTGGCAGCAAGATATTCGTCGAATTTGACGGGTTCTTTTCTTTATACCACAATGTCCACGCGGGTGTTCCCCACGGATCTGTCTTGGCTCCCACATTGCTCCTGTCACACAACAACAACCTCATTTCATGCACGATCAATCCGATCCGCAGTTTTGCTTATCATTGCATCACACTTGTACGTGAGCTGGAAAAAAGAAGACTAGCAGCCCTGGTATTTAGGCTTCTGTCTGCGTGGCTGCTCCAGTGTAAGAAAAATAACTTCTTGATAAAAGCCCATGTAATTGTTATAGGAATTATCTCAGAAACGAAGCGGTTGGTTTTGTTGAACCTTTGGAAAAACATGTGTCAATTATTTTGTTTCTGTTGCAGATGCAGCGTAAAAGGACATGAGCAGAGCGGAAACCAAACGGAAGAAACAGGGACATCCAGCAAAGGAAGCGAGATTGGAAGACAAACACAAAGAGAAATTCAAATCGGAACCGTATCTTCGGTCAAAAGTCAAAGAGATACCAGCGTATAACACCACACCTGGCGACAAGTACTATTGCCGACACGTGTGTTGTGACAAGGAGAAGAAGCCCGAGAAGAAGGTGTCTTTCCGTGATCGAAGGAAGGATTCCCTTGTGGAGGAAGCATTTTATTCTGCTCAGTTCGAATATATAAGGAACAACCTATGTATCAAATTCTGTATCGGGAACAGGGATTTGTTCAGGTTGGTATACAGTGTGGAGTATATTATTACATCGGCAATATACACGGTGTTCCTTAATCATATGCGAATATTTAAGGGTGTAAATCTACATGAAAAAATGTTAGTTTGCTTTATAAACTATGATCCAAAAATGTTTCCTTACTAAAACTCGAGGTGTTGAAGTTTCAGGAAAAAAATGGAAATTAATTGATATTTTCAGAACCGCTTCAGATATTTCACTGATATTTAGTGCATAGTGAAAGTTAATAAAGTTGCATATTTTTTAATGCAAACATAATTTTTAGCTTTAACAGTGGCGTGCGTACGGGTATTGACTTCGGAATTTTTTAAGAAAAAAATGGTACGCTAATGGTTTTTTGTCAAATAAAAATTATTTTCTAATTCCCCGTTCAATTTAAAACAAATGATCTCTCTTGAATTGTATTCCTTCGATGCGCCGTTTTTGAGTAAAAAAATACAAACCGTTCTATTGTCTAACTTGCAAAATTAAAATTAATTTAATTGGAAAAGTTAAACACATTAGGGGTAATGAACCACAACAACTGACAACATAAACATAACATTAAAACCAACGAAATGATTATAAAAATTGTTGAAAATGGCCCCTTTCACTTAGCATGCATTATTCATTACCTCTATTGTCTTTAATTTTTCCAATTAAATTAATAATAATTTTGCAAGTTAGACAATTTTTTACTCAAAAATGGCGCATCGAAGGAAAACAATTCAAGAGAGATCATTTGTTTTAAATTGAACGGGGAATTAAAAAATAATTTCTATTTGGCAAAAAACCATTAGCGTACCATTTTTTTCTTAAAAAATATCGAAGTAAATACCCGTACACACGCCACTGTTAAAGCTAAAAATTATTTTTGCATTGAAAAATATGCAACTTTACTAACTTACACCACGTACTAAATATCAGTAAAATATCTGAAGCGGTTCTGAAAATATTAATTAATTTCAATTTTTTTCCTAAAACTTCAACTTTTGTAAGGAAACATTTTTGGACCATAGTTTATAAAGCAAACTAACATTAATTTTTCATTTAGAATCACACCCTTAAATATCCGCATATCATTATGGAACACCCTGTAAATGAATCGGGCAATAACGTAACTGGCTGAGCAATGGCGTTTTTACAAAGTTCAGTTGGTTAAGTCACTATTTCCATCGTCTTAATTTCTACCAATCACAAACGCACAATTTTGAATTACAAATGGTTTCTAGATGGAAAAATTGTATGACAGCACCTGTCAGCAGTTTTTTCGAGTTCTACAGCGGCAAAACTTGACAGCTGTTGTCACCAAAAGTGTTTGATAACAAGTAACACCAGAATACGACGCTAAACAATTTTCCCGAATTTATTGTCAATAAATTTTGTAAGATATGTGTATACAGAATAATTTGTTACTCATGAAATGACGTTATACCAAGTTGAACTCTATTTACAGTTTTGAAAATATTCTACTTAAAGATTCTAAAATAACTAACAGCATAATCCTAAGGAAGCTGGAGTATGCTGATTATGTAATTGATCCCTCTCTAACTCAACAAGAGGCTTTCCGAATACAAAAAGTCCAAAACAGCTGGGTACGCTATATTTCAGGAATCTCGAGGAGAGAAAGAATTTTCAGGCATCTTCTGGATATGAAATTGCTTAGGATGCACCAACAATGGGTGGTACACCTCGTTTCTTCGCTCGATACAATCATCTATGATAAAATCCCAGTTTACCTGTTTAGGTAAATCCAATTTTGTTGAAGAGGAAATGGTGCATCGGTCCCTGAATATAAAATGGTTTTGTTGGTTTTAATTTTAACGCTACTCATTTTCTTAAAAAATAAGGGTTTTAATAGTATTGAATCTCCAATCCCCAAAACACCTTAGATGCTTTTGGACGCATGTAATGTCCATAAAGAAACTGAATTTATTATAAGATGACACTACAGTATATTCAGATAAGAGATAGACCGGACATAAACAAGACCACGTGATCATCGAACGCTGTAACATTCGGCAGGGACGTATTAAGAGTCACGCAGTACATATTTTAGATAGTAGATGCTGCTTTGCGTAACTTTGTAGTAAATTAGCACAATTCGATGTGTATACGATTGGTGATGGATATAGGATCATGTGGGGGTGGGGTAAGAAATATATAATGATGTAAATATACATAAGGGTTTCAAAATTTTCGCTTCGATTTCCAGCTTCGGATGCCGCCTGATATTTGGTGAAATACAGTCGAATATAATCTCAAAATGGCGTTTAAATTAGCCTAAATTAAAAATAATCGTATATCTCTTAAAATTGCTTTTAGAATATTGATTAGTATATTTTTTGATTTCTAGGTAAATATGTAACCAAATTAAAACGTTCAAAACGTAAAAAAATGTGCATGGTTGAACATTGTCAGAAAGTAGATTCTTGAATAGGTTTTGCCAAAATGGGTTCAAAAATGTCAATAATTAATTAAAAAATACAGTAGCTTTATAATTACTTATAACTTACCGAATTTGATGAACGACATCTTTTATTGGAAAGATGAGCTTGATGAGCTTTCATCATCGCTACTGCCTGAAGCACCAACGTCAATAATGAATGGCTCGACTTGTTCCTCTAAAATATTGTCCAGTTCCCACATTTTCTTTTCAACTTTGTCTTTCACGTGCTTAATATAGTTTTCCCATTTTTGCGCTGTTATTAATTCTAGTGCTAGTAGATGGTCTATGGGGATTCGGTCTCAAAACTTCCAAAATCCGCCACCAGAGGCGCTGGCGTCGCGCGCCATTGACAGGTTGTTGGACGGAATCTGTATTCATGAGTTGGGGATTCCGCCGCTAGATGGCGCTGTCAAACCAAACGGAATCTGTGTGTCATTGGACACCTGTCATGCGTCATTGGGCATCTCACGCATAGATGGCGTTACACGTCATCTGTCATACGTCATTGGACACCTGTCATTGATGGGTTGAGCATCTCGCGCATAAATGGCGTAGATTTGTTTGGCGGTGTACAAACCTAACGGAATCTATGCGTACATTGGACAGCTGCCATTGATGGGTTGGGCATCTCGCGCATAGATGGCGCCGATGTCGCACCTGTCTGGTGTTGGCGTGGATTACGGGGGGCAACGTGTATACAGGGGTGCATCGAAAAATAGCGGATCGATGGACCGACGGTATATCGTTAAATCGTATATAGCAAGGCGTGACCTAAATAGCGTGGTGGGCTCCTCTGGTCGGTCGGTCGGTCGGTCAGAATGTCTCATAACCTGTATACGATGTACTGTTATTATTATACAGGATGATACCGTTCAAAATGAAAATAGTATAATGGATATTTTATTGAAACATATAGTATATATAACAATAAGGTTGATTGGTGTGTGTGTGTGTGCCATGTTTTGAATACCCGCGCTTGAACAACTTGCAACAAGAAATTCCGACAATATTATTTCGCAAACCAGAGGTATTTTCAATAAAACTACATATCAGGGAGTACTTTAGATGTTGATACTAATCGACTCAAATCATTGTTCGACAACTGATTTGGTTCATGACAGACAAGAATCAAATTATGTATTTCACGGTTCAGTTCTGGTTGTTTTTTAATTTTTTCCCTAAACTTCAGGTAACCCAGGAAATATGTCTCTTATCCGTCCTCTGTTCAACACATCAGTAAAATCGTTAGAAAATTCTATATATGACATATTATTATAAAAGGTATAGGACCGTCCTGCGTTTGATTGAAAAATAGCATTGATTCGAGCCCTATCGGGTATATCAATTGAAAAATTATCAAGAAATTTAATGGTAGGGAATGATGCTGAGAAATAGTTGTTTGGAGACACAATGGTAATCAAGTCACCGTTTGTTGATTGGAAAATATGTTGTAAAGTGTATTGACGTAATTCTGTAGGAACATAATCGACAAGAAGTTCAGGCTGAGATGGGATAATCATTTCGTTTAAGTCTAGTTTCCATATAAACATATCATGTGCAATATATAATCGGTAATTTGAAAACTCTGGAGCAATAGCTAAAAACATAAAATCTGGAATAATATCACACAAATTTTTGAGGATCGGCTGCTTACGAGTTGTAGATCTTATAGTTGTTGTTGTTTTTGGTATTGCTGATGCGGTGGTAGACGTTGGGATTGAATCATATTTGTTTTTTCTTCCATATAGATATTGTACTGCATTTATATCATCAACATCTAGACCACGAATCTCATGCTGATAGAAGGCAAACATAATAGCATTCGGAGAAGCACTATGTGCTATGCCGAGAGCATGTCCAATTTCATGAACCAACACCTGATAGAGAATGATGTCAAAAATCTCAGATAGCAAATATAAATTCGTTTACCCCCCAATCAAAATCTTGACTGAAAAAAAATTAGGCAGCAAATATACAATAATCATACACGAATTTACTATATTTCTAAATTTCTACTCTCATGTGCAACTTGTAATTGGAATTTCCGCCGGACAAACGATACATTCATGTATTACTAAGAAATTATATAAAAAATACTGCAACCGCAATGAATGTTGTTTTCTCGATAAAAATGGTACTGAGAATATGATGCATATAATATGCATATTTACGATACAATTATCTCATGCACGCGTGTGTTATCTCAACCACGTATTTATATTTAGCGAGCGCATGCAATAGTCATCATTGTTTCACACTTAACGCACAACGCTGCAAGCTGGATACAATAGTGCTTCGAGAGAGACGAGATAGCGAAAATTTTAAAAAAAGTAAGTGCTATTTTATTTAATATTTTTCTTTTTTATGTCTCTAAATGCAACTGTTTTTTTTTCGTGTTATGCTTCAAAATAGTTAGACGACTCAATTTTTTTTATAGATGGATTTATCAAAAATTAATGCTGCGTCTTCGATTGTAGACCGCAAACCTATCAGAAAATTAAAGGACCTACCAGTTGGGACACCATTTGCAATCCAAGCAGCTAAAGTGGTCAAGTCGAAATTTGGGGAAGCCGTGCTACTAGATTTAGGACCGGAAGTGCTATTTCTACCACAGCGGGTGACGGAAACGTACCAGCCGGTCATCGACGAACTTTTTCACGGAAAATACTCGATCATCTTCCAAGGGGAAGTGGACGTA